GTCTTTGCAAATAGGGAAGGGTGGAAGGGGTGAAGGGAGGGCAAGGGAAGGGGAAAAAAATAAGAACCAAGATACTCATGTAAAGGTACAAGATCCCAATGATGAATGTAACTATTTTATACCGAAAATGTACCAATAAATTTAATGGGAGAAAAAAAAAAAGACTATGTAAAAATACCTTGCTCCTAAATTCAAGAATCCACTGGCTATACACTCTTACACTTTACAGTTTGAATTTTTAAAAAATGGATATATTTATTAATTAAACTCATATACCTTCACACATATCTAGGCATACCAGACTTCATCCTGCTTAGTGCTTCTTCCCCTGCCTAGTTTTCTCTTATTCAGAAATCTGCTATAATTTCTCAAAGATTTGAGACCACCACGTGTAAAATAGCTTTCCTCCCTACCCCACTACCCTTATTTTCTTGGGTCTTTATAGTATTTGAAATATTTATTGATACTTTTATTTTTCCATGCTCCCCTGGAAAATGAGCTGAGAGACAGGATGAGTGCTGCAGGGGTACCCTGACTATCAGGCACATGTCAGACATTTAGTACTTAGTGAATGAAGTTACTGTTTCTGGAATTGTTACATGCTGTGAAAAAAACCCGAAAAACTGGGTTGGAAGGGGCCTTGAGGGGCCTGTGAGGAAGGAAGGGGCCTTTTTTTGGATAAAGACACTAACACTTGTTGAAGAAAAGCCTCGCCCAAGGTAACCAGCGCAGAGAAAGCAGACTGCAGGCCCATCTGCAGCCCAGGGCATTTCCTAGCCATCTCCTCCCTGCGGTACCAGAGCCCCAGAGATAGAACCTACAGTCTAAAGAGGTTGCTCGCCACAGAAGATGTGTCTGGGGGCAGAGGCCCGAAACCTACGCGTGGGACCTAACCGCGACTGGTCGGGTGCAAGGGGCTTCCGGGAGCAGAGTTAAAATCTCCCGCCCAAGGCTCCAGGTACCGCGGACCACCCGCTTTAAAATTCAGCTAGGAAGGGAAAGGAAAAATGATGAGAAATGGAAAAAATGGAAATAAAGTCTTTGTAAATAGGGAAGGGTGGAGGGCGTGAAGGGAGGGCTAGGAATGGGGAAAAAATAAGAACCAAGATGCATTATGTAAAGGTACAATTCCCAATGAGAAATGTAATTGTGTTGTATACCTACAATGTACCAATAAAAGAATTTAATACAAAAAAAAAATTCAGCTCGGAAGAAAAAGACGAGGCCTCAGTTTCCGAGGACGTTTTAAGCGGCGCACCCGCCCCTCCCTTTCCGGTCTGGTCTTCCCGGCGTAGGTGGCTCCAAGTGTGTTGGGCTGGAGAGCGGGAGTGAGAGCTGCAGTTCGGGGCTGTGAGCCTGTGGGGTCTGGAGTGCAGAGGTTCCCTGTGGCCCTCAGGACGTCACCATGGTAGGCACCTTCCCGCTCCCCGACCGCTGGCTGTCCCCGGAGGGTTGCGGTGGGGCAGGAGGGTGGGAGGTGTCGGGAAGCTGGCGAGGGGCGGACGGTAAGCGCGCTCCGGCAGCGCGGGTCCGAGCGGCTGCGGGTCCCGGCCCGGCAGCCGCATCACGGGGCTGTGGTGCAGTCAGCCGCCTCCGCTGGTACGCAGCTCGGCTCCCCCGTCACTGCCTTCTCCGAGAAAGCCCGCGCCTTCGCCTCGTCTCAGCTCCGTGAGGGCTTCGGCAGAAGTTCGGGGCGCTGGTCCCGCAGCCCTGGGCCCCTCTGCGGGTCGGCTCTGTGGGGCGCAGTCGCCTCCGCCTCCCTTCGGTGACCCGTGCCCTCCCCAGTCGCTGCCTCCGCCCCCCGGCCGCCTCCCGTTCCCGCCGAGGCATTGGAGACGTTTCTCCTAGAGTAGACAGAAAAGACTGTCCCTAAAACACATTGAAGTGTAGAGATTAGTAGTGTAAGAAACATGTAGTTTAGAAAATAAAACGTGATACAGCCTTTGAAAGCCTTGAACTTGTAACCTTCAAGAACCTTCCAGGGTTAAGCAGGATCTAAACTTTGTATTTATAATTACTTTTTCTTTACAGTGAGTACTTACGTTTGTATCACAAGACTGTATCTTATTTTTTCTTACTTTTCTTACTGATCGAACTCGGGTCCTTGCGCTTGCGCAGCAGGCGGCGAAACCACTGAGCTAAATCCCTGGCCCTCTTACTGTGTTCTTAAGAATCATTCTTGAATAGGAATACGTTGTATATCCACTAAGGAATAATGAATATATACCACCCAGTTATGTTTTTATTAAAAACATTAAAATAAATTTATAATCTGGTAAAAAGTTAGGATACTCTGGCCAAAAAAGGTTTTGTCCTTTCTCTTTTGATTTTTCCCTTTTTGTTGTATGTATGCCCATCATTTCTGTGTTTCTTGTCTATCTATAGTCCTGATTTAAATTGCATGTATTTGTGTAAATTCAGTTTTGTTTGTCACCTGCTTGTGTGATTTCTAGCCCTTTGTAATCTATCTGGCTTTATAGTAGAAATATGTTGCATAGTGACGTATAAAAATGAGTGACATATGATGAATGTTCACTGGCACATTTCTGGCCCTGGGTTGTTATTTGCTGTTTTGTTTTTGGTATGACAGTGCCAGTAGTTCTGCAACCTCTTTGATTGCATTTCAAAGTGTAGCCTCAGTTAGTTTGGTACCTGTGATCTTGGTGAAATAACTTAACCCTCTGATCTGTGTAACTAAAACCTACATATAGAATTGTGAAAGTTAAATATAAAGTACTCATCCCAGTGTCCAAACACTTGTAAATGTTAGTGTTGTTATTACCGTTATCAGTAGAAGTATATATAGCAGGATACAACTTCTAATTGTTCACTTTTGTTACTTTGTTCATTTATGTTCTCATATTGTGAATCTTTCCTGGAGCTCAGCAAGTTCGTATCATTTTCTGATAGCAATACTTAATTCAGCCACATGAAAAGAATCTTTGGTGCTTTTAAGTTTGGTTTGTGCTTTGTAGCTACTAGGCATTCACGGATGTACACGTACTCCTTTTTTATGTTGGCCTATTATTATAGGATTTTAATATGCTTTTTTCCTCACTAGCTAGATTATAAGCCATTAAAAATGTGCCATTATTAACTCTTTTTTTTTTTTTTTTTTGATACCAGGGATCGAACTCGGGCCTTTGCGCTTGCAAGGCAAGCGGCAGAACCACTAAGCCAAATCCCTGGCCCTATTAACTCTTAATTTATCGAGTTTATACATGTGATTAACCATTAATGTCCTTGTACAAATTGCATGACAGGAACTGTTATCTACAGCAAGAAATTTTAAAAACTTTAAAAATTTCAATTGCATTGCCTGCTAGTGAAAAGTTGCTTCTAAAAGGAAAACTAAAAAAATAAAATTATTCTTGCAACTCTACCTTGTATGCCCTTTTTGAAACAATATTACATGTGATTAAAAACAGCAAAAACAGGTTATCTGTGAAAAATGTATTAATTTTGTCTTAGTGCTGTAAAATATTAGTATAAATTTAGTAGCTTAAAACTGCAGAGGTTCACTTTTTCTAGAGGTCCAAAAGAAGAGGCTTACTGAGATAAAATCAAGGTCTTTCCAGAGCTGTCTTCTCTTAAGGGGCTATAGTGAAGGATCTGTTAACATGATTTTGTTTTTCTCAGTTTCTAGAGGCCATCTCCATTCCTGAGTCTTGGCTCCTTTCAGTAGCATAGTATCTTCACATCATCCTCCAGAGAAGGTCACGTCTCCTCTGATGGTGGTCCTGCTGCCTCCTTGTAAGGACTCTAAGGATCACCCTGGGCCCACATGGGTGATCCAGGGTGATCTCTCCACCTCAAGACCTTTGCTTCAACTTACAAAGTCCTTTTTGCCATGTATGGCAACATACTCACAGATTCTGAGAAATTAGGGCACAGACATCTTTTGGGGATGGGGCAGTGCATTATTTTGCCTAAAACAAAAAGTAAGGCTTCTTCTAACTCTGTTGCCTGATGCCCCGTTTCACTGACAATTAACCATTGTTATCAGATCTTCATACCTATTGAAATAGTTCATATTCATGTAGCAGCATATATATATATGTATCTCCTCTAATCCTTCTTATAAGTAATATAGAAGATACATTCCTGTGTCCCTTCCTGTTTCTGTCCTACCTGGTTTTAAGATACCAGTCCATGTAAGTGTATACAGGTACCTCTTTGCCAGGATGTGAGTGTGTCCCCAGAGGTTCATTTGTTGGGTCCTTAATTGCTCAATGAGGCAGTGTTGGGAAGAGGGGCCTAGAAGAAGGTGTTTGGGTCATGGGGGTTGAGTCCTCGTGTAAATTCATGCCTTTCCCACAGGAATGGATTAGCTGTGAGGATTCAGTACCCTTTTCTCTAGGGCAGTGATGGTGAACCTTTTAGAGGCCAAGTGTCCAAACTGCAATCTAAAACTCACTTAAATTTATTGCATAGTGCCAACACTGTCATTAAACATGAATTCTAGTTTAGAAAAAATAACTATTGTCCCATGCTTGGTTGCTGGGGCAGCTTGATTCACATGCTGACAGAGTGCCGTATGTGCCCACCGTGGTGGCACCATGCCAAGGTTCACTACCGCTGCTCTGAGCCATGCCTTTTAAATGTGTGTCCTCTCTCCCCCCTCTGACTCCTGCTACATTAGGAAGCAGCACAGGGCCCTCACCATGAGGTATCTGACCTTGGACTTCGCAGCCTTCAAAACTGAGCCAAAATTTTATAAATTACCCATTCTCAGGTATTGTTACAGAAATTGAACTGAGACAAAATTTTACTTTTTTAGTTAAGTACTGATGATTAAACCCAGGGCCTTTGCACCAAGCTATACTTCATCTCTTTTTTAACTGTTTAGAATTTTGAGACAGGGTCTCCAGTTGCCTGGGCTGGTCTTGAACTTGGGCCCTTCTGCCTTAGTCTCCTGGAGTGCTAGGATTAAGCATATGGCACCATGCCTGGCAACACTTAACTTTAAAAAAAAAAAAAGTTACTATTCTACTTGCTTTTACTGAAATTTATTTAGCCAGATCTCTCATGAACTTTCATTTCATTTGCTACTCCAGATACTGTAATGCTGCTGCATTACTTTTTTTTTTCAGTACATGTGCAAATATGTCTATAGAATAAATTAATAGAAGTAGGATTCTTTGGTGAAAAGACATGCCAGTTTTACCTTGATGGGATCTGTTGCTTTCTAGAAGACCACCATTTTGTACATCATTGATTTATGAGAGTCCTAACTCACCCACAGCCTCGCTAATGGAATGTTAATTTTATCTTGGTAGTTAAACCTTGCTCTATTTTATTAAAGTTTTACCTTACATTTCTTTTAAATTAAAGCATACATCTTTTCAAACCCTTAAACATTTTTTACTCTTTCTGTGACTTAGATGTATTCTTAGTTTTTAATTGTAGTTTGGTGATCTTACTAACCTTAAAACATTGTTATATTAAGGGAATTAATGTTTGTGTTGCAAATAAGTATTGAAATTTTGACTTGGTCTATGATACGTTCTATGTGGAATTTTATATGTTTATGTAATTACTTTTAAATGTGTAGATTTATTATGTAGACATACCTTTTTCTGATTTAAAACAAAATCTTTGTTTCTAGAATCCACGTGATTTTATTTTGTTGTTTAAATGGATTTATGAACCTAATTGAAATACAGAATGATATGCTACATTTTGTTTGTTTGTTTGTTTTGGTACTGAGGATGGAGCTCAGGACCTTGCACTTGTGAGGCAAGTGGGGCTAAATCCCTGGCTCTGATATACTACATTTTTAAGAGATTCATATGCTTTTTATTTTATTTATATTTTTGAGTCATTGGAGTATTTAATACTGTTCAAAAATCTGAACACACAGATTTACTTCTCCCCCACAAAAAAGCAAAATGAAGTTTCTGTGATCTAAAGGGTGAATTATTATCAGATCCTTATTTCACTACTTAATATCACTTTTAAAGTTTTATTAGTAACATCTGTGCGTTCAGTGCTCTAACCTTAGCTTGAGAAGTAGTCATTCTTCTCTGTGGTAAGATACTTTTGGAGTTATATAAGCAGAATTACTAATAAAATATTCCAGTGTCAAAGAAATTTGGGACTTTTTCTTTTTTAATCCAGTATTAACCTGTATGTGTGGTGGTGTGGTCTTAGTTATCAGAGAGCTGCTTTAAACTGCCATTTTTCTTGTTAGGTAACCTGTGCACCTGCTTATTTTCAGTGCTAGGCCAACATGATAGAAAATTGGTTTCCTGTAGGAGCGGTTAATTTAAGTAGAAATAAGCTCATCTTATCAAGTGAGTTTGAGCTACAGTTTTACTACTTAGCAGAGAAATATTTTGTTGAGAGGGTTTTACTTCCGTTTCTCCCTGTTGAAGCAGTTTTTAAATTTTTCATGTTCTACTGAAAAAATATGAAAATGTTTTGAAGTATAGTAAATCTTAACTGTGTATTTCTGTGTTTTATTGTATATTAATAGCCTGCCTTGGGGCAAGATTTTCATAAATAAATTATAAGGAATCATAAGTGCCAATTGAGTCAGAATATAAGTTCAGTTTCTTTGTAGTTTCTTTGTACTAAGTCTTGAAAGTTCTTCAACTGAAATCTTCGGAAGCTGTGAGGACATTTTCACACTCAAAGCATGTCAAACTTTTTCTAGTGAAAGTTTTTCAGTCTTCAAAGGAATTTTTTGTAGACTTAAATATACTGCTGAAACCTCGTAACTTTGTAACCTCAGTTAAGTCTTAGCATCTTCCCATTTTGATTTTGTGACCTTTTTTCATTGTTTTAAAGCATTTTACTTGTTATGATGTGTAGAATCTAAGATAACTTTTCAAAGAGTGCACCTTTGCTTTTTCTTGATCTTGCATTAGTTATCTACGCATTCCTGTATAACAGGTTCTCCTACAGTTGAGTGCCTTAAAGCAATAGCATTTGTTATCTCAATTTCTGTGAGTCCAAGCCAAGCGAGCCAAACATCACATACCTGTCCTCTCTGTCAAGGTTATCAGTCCAACTGTCACAGTGATTGTAAGTACACATGGGGAGGACCCATTTCCAAGCTCACTCATACGGTTCTTGGTAGGATTTAGCTCTTCCTGCACTGTTGGACTGAGAACCTCAGTTTTTTATTGAGTGTTGACTAGAAGCAGTCTCCCAAATGTTTGTCACATGGGCTTCTCCAGAAGGCAGCTTATTACGTGGCACCTGGTTTCCATCAGAGGAACCAAGTGAGAACAAGAAAGCAAGAGAGATAGAAGTCAGGCCTCTCATAACCTAATTTTGGAATTGATGTTACTGAATGTTGTTCTTTAGAGTGAGTTAGTAGTTCTGTCCCACACTGAAAGAGAGGCGATTATGCAACAGTGTGACCATCCAGTGTTGGGCTTTCTTGGATGCCATCTTACCGGCAGTCTAACTTTTGCCACTTGTTGCAAAAGTTTTAATTTGATTTCTGTTGTCTAGGTAGACTATATTCAAAGAATTTTTTGCCCACATCCTGTCTGTCCCTCCATCACCAACCCTCATGTGTTCAGAAAGACAAAAGAATACATCTGCTGTATTTTTAGGATGGTTTTACTTTATTTGCTTTTGTCTTCAGGCAACTTCAGTTATCCCTTGGGCTTCAAATTTAGACATCGCTTCTCGGGTCAGATTTATCAAGTAGTGAGCATGGTGTTTAGTGAATATTTTTTATAGGAATGCATATATAAATGAGAAATTGATGGCCATTTTAATCCTGCCTAGAGAGCTTTAAAAAGGAAGTGATTTTGAACTGCATCGTATCACACTTGAACTTAGCCAAAAGGCCGAGAAGCGATGAGCTGCATCATATCAAAGGACAACAGAGGGAAAGGATTTTGCAGGCAAAAGTGCCCAAAAATGCAGTCTCAAGAAGTTAGGAGCCGGGTGTGGTGACCCATGCCTGTAATCTCTGCACTCAGGCAGCTGAGGCAGGAGCATAACTTCGAGTTTGAGGCCAGCCTGGGTTACATAGTGAGTTCAAGGCGAGCCTTAACTACATAGTGAGACCATGTCCCAAAAAAGTCAAAATACAAGTTAGGAATGCCATGCTGTGTTCTGAATTTCAGTAAGAGTGAGATGAAGGATCTTTTTTGGAGCAACATGAGAAATAGTGCTAGAAAAGCAAGTTGGAGGTACATTGCTTTTCTATGCTAAAGATTTCAAAGCAATCAGAGCTCTTTAAGCAGACAGAGGGGTTTTACTGGATTAGTGTTATAGGAAGAGCCACTCCGTGATTCTTTGGAAAGAGGACTAGCAGGGAGAACCCAGTGGACACCCTAATCATGAGGACTGAGTTAAGGTAAATGACAGTAATTTTGAAGAGAAGATTCTATAGACAGCTGGCCTTTCTGAGGATTAGGTGTGTTAGAGGCTTCCAGCTATCCCCTAATATATTTTTTTCTATAGTAATGAATTTTCTTTTTCAGAGATTAAATAAACACTGTGACTAAGTTTTGGTGAGTGGGATGTGAGCAAAAGAATCTACAACTCCCCAGATCATGTTCTTAAAGGGAAGGAGTTTGCCTTCTGATGTTTTCTTTTCTGCTTCTCACTGGCTGGACAGTAGACCTGATATTGGGCCATCTTGCAGTAAGCTTCTGTCTTGGAGGCTGTAGCCCAACAAGATAGAAGGAGTATGGATCCAAAGGGCTTTGGTGAACAGAGCCTCTAGCTCCTACTTTTAACTGGAGAGAACTAAACTTTATTTAGGTTAAGTTGTTATTATTTGAAATTTCCATTACAGAGGGCTGTACCTGATTCTTAAATAAAATAAGTGGGATAGGATAGATGAGTGTGAAGAAATTTTTAAAAATGATTGAGATATCTTGTTTGGAAGACTAAATGAATTGTGACCTAGTTAACTGCTTTAAGGCTTGAGTGGGAAAATATTTTGTTCTCATTTGGATATGCTGATTTTGAGATAGCTTCTTTTATTCCTAAATTCCACAGACCTTAAGCCCAGCTCTGACCCTGCTTGATTGACTGGCCACTGTCTTCCGTGTACAATTTCTGTAGTCAGACTCCCAGCAATAACTTAACGTTTCTCTAGCCCCTTAATCTTCTTAACTGTAATTTACATTTCCAGCCGAGAGTCTTTTCTGTACCTACTTGGAAGATGGAACAGTTGAAGAGTTGAATTTATTGACTCTGTCCATGTCTTTATTTTGTTAGTATTTCTGGTTCACTGTATTTCTATTATAGTTCTTGAAATTTATTTCAAAAGAAAATTTTGTGACCAGAGTCATGTACTGTATCTGATAATATATGCCATGTTTTCCTACATTTTAGCCTAAAGCACCAAAGGGAAAAAGCACAGAAAAAAAAATCATCCACCCATATAGTAGAAAAGCTACACAAATTACAAGAGAGGCCCACAAACAAGAAAAGAAGGAAAAGTAAGTATCTTTTTGCCACTTGCATTACGCGTTGATGAAAAGCCCTTATATCCATTTATCCTTCAAACATGTACTTTTAACTTTCTGTCTTCTTCCTTTAGCAAATATTAATTGAGTATGTTCTCTATAATAAGGAAAAACTGAACAAGGTCTCTACTTTTATAGAGCTTACCTAAAACATATAAGTAAAGTTAAAAGCATTTTGATGAGTACAGAGAAGAAAAATTAATAAGGATTATGGGATCGGGAAAGTAGGAGAGGTTCTGTTAGGATAGTCATGGGAGGCTTCTCAAGAAGTTACAGAGAGCTGAGACATGAGAGGGAGGGAGGTATGCTGACACATATTGTGCATTTAAGGGCCTGTTTTCCATAGAAGAGGAAATGTAGAATGAAGAGATATGTTGGGTCTCACATTCAGAGGATAGGCTCAGGATGTCAAAAATTAGGGTACTGTCCGCAGCCTATGGGATTTCAGGCCACGAGAGTGGCTAAGATCACCTAAGGAGTAACACAGGAATGGGAAGGCAGCCAAGGAGTCTAGAAGGTCTCCACCATGCAGAGACTCGAAAGGAGGAGGATCCCACAAGTGAAACTGCTTTCGTTCATGGTGATTACTCGTGATGTTGAGCCTAGAATCCTTGTATGTTGTCAGATACATTCAGAGTTTTATATGCTAATTTATAGAATCAACATTATGGAAGAAAAAAACAGAACAACATACTAATCTCATAGACCTTGCCCTTTGGAAGTTCTGTTATTGGTCAAGGGTTCTATTTTAATAGAAGGGAATTGAAAGGCATCAGTTTTTCTGCTTGGGCAGTGTTCTAAACCAGCAAGGGCTTCCCTTTTTTTTTCATATATTTTTTTAAAAACCACCATCTTAACAAAAGTCATGGTATAAGAACCAAAGTTTTAGTTGTGTCTAACATATTTTATGGCTATGAGACCATAGGTGTAGTCCTACTGTAGCAGACAGTTTTTTGAGTAGCAGCATCTGTGACTATGAATTATACTTAACTTTAAATGGAATCATGGTCACAAATAGCATCTTAAAGTGGTGCTGACTTCCTGCGATAGAGCAGTACTTCTAATAAAACAAACGTGCTGAGTTGCATATTTTCAGAAGACAGTTGGTGACAGCACACCCAGACAGTTGGAACAGCTGTACATCAGATGATACAGAAGGTACCAGTAGGACTTAACTTAAACATCGGATACCTGTGGCTCTTAGAAATAAATAGCAGCCAATAGACATTTTTGATTCGTAAGAAATTGTACTAGTTTGTTAGCTTAGAACAAAAACAGTTTCTGGGAATCCCAGTGGCACTTAACTGGGTACTTTAGGTTCAGGATCTTTTTTTCCTTTTTCTTTTTTTTTGGTACCGGATATCGAACTCGGGTCCTTGCACTTGCAAGGCAGGCAGCAGAACCACTGAGCTAAATCCCCGGCCCTAGGTTCAGGATCTTACCAGGTTACGTTCAAGATATTTTCTGGGACTTCATTCACTGCTGAACTTGATAGACAGGCTTTGCTTTCTCTCTGCTGTTGGCAGACCTCAGGTCTGGATGTTAGACTGTTGGAACAGAGACAGTGGAGTTTTGTCCATTGCTGTGTTCCTGGGGCCTGGTGTAACATCTGGTGAAGGTATCCAGTGATCTTTTGAATTAACAAGTATGCAGAATATCAACAGGAGACATGTTACCTACACTGTTTCTGAGTCTAAAGGAAGTTCTTTTCTTTGTTATAATTTTTTTCAAATTCATGAAAAGTAATCATACTTTTCATTGCTTTGAAGTTTAAAAGATGAAAGTAGTGCATTTTGGTTTTGGTGGCAGCACTGTTTTCCAGAGTATTCATCACTGTTTTTTGCATAAATATTCTGCATATTACAGAACACATTTGTACATTCATAGTCTAATCAAGATTTCATTTGAATTTTCAGAACTAGTTCTGTAAGCTTCCTTCATCATTAAAAAGCTAAAAGTGTTTCTAATGACATTTTGTTCCAGTGATTTGAAAGAAAAACATAGTATTCCATTTTTGTTGTTGTTTTCACAATTACTTTTATAAGTGTAAAAGAATAATGTTTGAATTTAAGTTCTTTGGGCAGTTTTTCCTTTTGTTGTTTTTGACAGATTTCTAAAACTTGCTTTGGAAATTTCCTAACATATATACAAATTTTCTTCCGAGATTGAAGAATGAAAAGGCTTTACGTCTCAACCTTATTGGTAAGTGAGTTTGGTCATTTGAAATTCTGGCTAGAGTATAGTGAATTTTTGCCTTATACCAATTTTTTCTAAATTCTCCTAGTGAAATACTCTTTTTATCAAAGTAGTATTTTTTTTTTTTTGGTACCGGGATCCAACTTGGGACCTTGCGCTTGTGAGGCAGGCGCTGGAACAACTGAGCTAAATCCCCAGTCCTATCAAAGTAGTATTTTTTATCAGACTTGATTAAAACAACAAAATGAACCAAATCAATAAACTTTGAGACTAAATAATGTTAATGATTCCCAGTTGAGTTTTCCAGAAACTAGTTTATACTAATCTATCTGCTTGTCTGCATACATATTTACATCTGTCTGAAGTTTAATTCTAGCTTCCTAACCATTAAGATTATGAAGGATTATATCTGTGTTCATTTTCCATTACTGTAAAAAATACCTGGGATAATCAGTTTATAAAGAGAGGTTTAAGCTCACAGCTTTAGAGGTTTGAGTCAGTGGTTGTCTGTGTTGCCCGTGGCCTGTGGCAAGGCAGCACGTCATGGCAGAGAGTGCTTGCTACAGCAAATCTGCTTGTCTCATAGCAGCCAGGAAGCAGAGAGGCAGGACAAGACCACAGTTCTTATGTTGCCTTTTCAAGGGCCTCCCCCGATTGACCTAAGACCTCCCAGTAGGCCTCATCCCTTCAAAGTTCCATCGCCTCTCAAGTCTTTAATGCACAGGCTTGTGGGCATTGTAGATCCAGGCTATAGGAATGACCTAAGTATTACAGAAAGAATAATTCATGTTTAATAATGTAGATATACTTTAGTCTCAGTGTCACAAGTGTCTTATTTTTTGGTCAAATTTATTGTTAGTAAACTTACTGACAAGGCTGAAATTTAAAAAATAGTGACTATTAGGTCTTATTATTAAATTAATGTAAAAGGTATTTGAAGCTTCATCTCAAATCTTTCATTAGGTACTAATACGGTATTTCTAAGCAGGGTGTGTTCATGCTGGGTAGAGCCATTTTTGATCTATAATATTGAGAAATTTAACTGAATTTATCCCCAGTGGTCAGCGTTGCTCATAAGGATGCATTGTCATTGCTACTAATGAGCTCTCTGCACAATACCTGCTAGCATTTTATGCTTAAATGTTTTTAATTTTATGGCTCTGGACAGATTACTTTGACTCCATACAAAGCTTTATATTTAACATGGAAGTAAATTTTGGTTGTTTGAAGCATATTGATGTTGATATAATGAGTACTTCTTTGCTTAACGGATGACTTATAGTGCTAAAATGTCTTGGTACTTGTTTATAGGTGAAAAACTGCAGTGGTTTCAAAATGAGCTGGATCCCCAAAAAATGAGATATTCAAAGAAAGACGCTTGTGAATTAATTGAAAGGTAAACAGTAGGCATATTATGAGCAAAGAGTCAGAAAAGGGAATTTTTCAACCTAGTTCTTGGGAGATATTTAAAGCTCTGCTCTATATTTGTAGAGGAGCAAATGTGCTTTCTTACCAAAAAGACTTTGGATTCGTATCCTGGCTTGGCCCCTGTAATGGGTTTCCAATCTTTCTGGGCCTGGGGGTGGTACTTAACTCAGTTTTGGGGGATCTGGAAAGGGTTCCGGGAGAAGTGTCATTTACACTAGCACTCACAGCTAAGGCTTAGCAGATCTAGGTAAGGTAATTTGAAGAGTCAGTGGCATGAGAGAACAGTGTCTAAAAGGCTCAGAAAGGTGAGAGCAAAGGTGACACATGTAGTGACCTTCCAAACATATAACATGTCTGAATAGCAAATTCAAGGAGGGAAGTGTGGCAGGTAAAATAAGTGACAGCTGGCTTAGGGAAGATCTTAGGTGTCAGTCTAAGAGTGTGGGTCTTACTCAGGGACATTTGGAGCTGTGAGAGACTTTAGTAGCAGGAACCTAAGATGAGCATATTTAAACTTTAGGAAAGTCACAGTTTTGAGAGTGAGGAAAATGCACTGAGAAGTAGCTACGGTCCTGGCCTGGAAACTGTTACAAGGCTCCTGCAGCGGTCCAGGCAAAAGAAGTTAAGAGCAGTATGAAGAGAAATAAAGATGCCAGAGATACTAGGAAGGTAGAAGTCTCAGTCTTTAGTGAAAACTTAAATGTAGAGTAAAAGGGAGAGAGGAGTCAAGGAGGGGATGACTGTATACCTCACTCGTCAGGTGGATGAATGGTCGTATTTCTTCCTGAGGTAGGCAGCCCAAGAGGTGGAGTAGGTTGGTGAAGCCACCAGGCGACATCTAAATGGAGAAGTCCGGTAGGTGACTGAATGTGAGGGTTCCCAGGTGAGCAAACAGCAGGCCATGTGGGCACCAGGGTTAAGAAAATAGTCAGGTTACCTAGGGAAGGTGGAAAGAGGTCTGAGGACCTTTGGCAGTTAATTTTCAAATGAACTAATAATTTGTAACTCAAATCGCTTTCATACATTTCAGGTATTTAAATCGATTCAGCAGTGAGCTGGAGCAGATTGAGTTACACAACAGCATCAAGGACAGGCAGGGAAGGCGCCACCAAGCCCGGGAGACAGTCATCAAGCAGACAATGGAGCGTGAACGACAGCAATATGAAGGCTACGGCCTTGGTGTGTTCTTTGCTGCTTATTTCTTTCTTAAATACACAGTGGTATCAGCTTTGTAATTCATATCAAAGATTTAATTTTATTCTATTGATTTAGCTTGATTCTCTTCCTTTGGTTTCCTTTCCAACTTGGATTCATTTTTCCCTCTGCATTCCCAACAAAACTATTTTGAGGGAGTTACAGTTTTCTCATGGGATATAATGTTTTACTTTTCAATATGTACCTGATTTGCTTTATTGTGAGGTTATTACTTACCAGTGTTTAACCACATCTCTGTTTCTTTAGAGTAGATATTTTGTCCTTGTCATATTTGTAATTCTTGCTCTACTTCCTCACATTTATAGTCATTCTTGAAAAACTGTAGAAATCAAAATTATTTTCTTGGCATTGTAGCATGTTGAATTCTAAAAATAAGTATGTTATTGGTTTGGCAATATCATCTGAAGAAAATCACTTAATAGGAAAGGATACTAAGACTTAGCCACAAACTGGTAGCTACCCAAACCTACGTGGCCTGCATATAGCATTTGATTAGCTTACTAATTGTCCTTAAAAAGAAAACAGCCTGACAATTTTAACTGAAAACTACAGATTCCTGGTGTCCCTTACAGAACTGGATGATTTGGCAGGATAATCTCCTGTATCCTAAAGTTTGTCATGGTCCTGGCCCCTCCTTCATTCATATACTTTGCCAAGTCCTTGTGGGTATTTGTGTTAATGGAGATTTGCTTGGAAAATATACTAAAGGAAATATTTATTGGCAAACTAATTTTTTTCAAGTTTTGATAAAAGCAGTACACAAGTATAGCATCTAAGGAAATATTCTACGAGTGTACTAGAAATTCCGAAATGGATGGCGGTTGCTTTTCATTCCTAAGAAGTGAGTTTCTTAACTAAAAGCAACAGAGAATGGTGTTAGAACTAGATAGAGCCATACTTTTGTCCCAGCTTCCTGTATAACTGAGGGCAAGTTCTATAACAGGATCGAAGGTCTGTTTTCTTCCATATAAAAATAAAATAGTATACCCACTTTCTAGGTTGTTTGAAAGTGAACGTGAAAGTGCCTGACACAGTATGTAACACAAGAGGGTAGCAAAAAGCTTCGGCCAGTCCTCTGTCCTTTTTCACCCAAGTTGTTGTCACCTTCTAAGAGTATAAATTTATGCTGTGGTCTTCATCTCCTTGTGTTTATTTGGAAACCATTTAATTAGACTTTGTCTCCACCACTCAACCAAAAATACTTGTCACTGATGACCTTTAAGTTGCTAAAACAAGTAGTTGCTCTCTGAGCATGAGCTCTCAGTCACCCCTTTACAGGGTTTGGTGCAGATAACAATTCGTTTTCTCTTTGCAGTATGATTTAGTATGGAAGACCCTGGCCTCTTCTAGCTTTCTTCCTAGTTCACTGGCCATGAATGGCTTTGCAGTTTTATAAGCTGAATCCTTCTCTGCCTTAGTCGCTTTTCTTTTGGCTGAGACACAGTACCTAGCACCCACAATATAAAGGACAGGTTTGTTTTGGCTCTCAGCTTTCAGAGGTTTCAGTCCATAGTATGCTGGCTGCAAGGCAGAAAGAGCCTGTCACAGGGGAAAGCTGCCTACTTCAAGGCAGCTAGGAAGCAAAAAACAATGGGCGGAGCCAGGGAGAGCCTTCCAGGTCCTGCCTCTTCCTCCTAACAGCACTGTCAACTTCATGCCTAATAGACCCCCCCATCCAAACACATGAGATTTGGGGGCTATTTTAGATCTAAACCATAACATAAACTAAATGTTGGCCTACATCCCTATCTTTGAGTTTCTTTTTTTCTATTTACACCCACCCTTAAGTTATTTAATCCCATAGGTTTACCATCTAAATGCTGACAATGACCAAAGTCAAAATTCCAGCCTTGAATTACCAAGCTTGAGTTTCTTAAACTCTGTGTCAAAAAGCAAAATTCTGCTTTTCTCCTAAAACTTGCTCCTCTTATCAGTTAGCAATTTCATTCAGTGGTATCAGCACTTGCACTTTTGCTCAGATCAGAAACCCTAGAGTCACTTTCATAGTCCACATCCAGCCCATCAGCAAAATACGTTTAGAATCTGGTGGCTTTCTCTTCTACCACCCTGTGTCTAGGTCAAGCTACCTTTGTCTCAACTGTACCATTACAGCAGCGCCCAGCCTTTCACCGTTGACTTTCAACATGTAGCAGCTGGATTAATTTTACCAGTAATTAATAGCACATTCAAATAAAATGATTATTTGTGACAGATCTAGTACTACAGCTCATATCAGTGTTCCTCCAGTTCTGCCACAGTGTTTCTTCCAGAATCAAAGAATGTCTGGTGAAAGATTTATGAGCCCTAATTCACAAGTGTATAGAAACATGTGGACAAATTGTCACCAATTCTGTTTGATAAGATTTTAAGAAGACTAAATATGAACAACCTCCCACATGGTGTAACTATTTCTGACTCATTTTATTAGGTTTCCTTTTTAAAATTTTTTTTGTGCTTAATATACACCTTTTTAATATCCAGTCCCTCATACTCCTGTATTTTCTGAAGCCATTGGAAAAGTCAGTATGCAGTTGTATCATCTATTTCTCACATTGACCGGATCTGTGCTTCAACAGTATGATCATGCACATTAGCTTATGATAAACTTTCCAATCATGGTAAGGAATACCTATTTTTAAAAATTTTTTTTCACATTTTGAATAATATACTTTAAAAAATATTAAATCTTTGCTCTCTTCAGATACCCTTTATCATGTCAAGGTTAGGTGTTATTGCTTGAAAAAATTATACTTTTCACCAAGAAAAAATACAAAGCACCCTGATATGTTTTAATAGATTCATTTGTTTTATTTCACAAGTTTTATACTAGAATTTATTTTTAATAGCATTATTAAGTCACCTTACTAAACTCTTTGTACTTGCCAAACTTTTTATGCTAAGTATAACAATGCTTCACAGTTTTCTTTTCCTTTGGATATTCTTGGTGTCAGTTGTTATTTGTTGTTTCTGAGATAATAAATGAAGAAACTATAAAATGATAGAATGTAGAAAAATTGCCAATGGCTATAAATTTTTTTTTTTTCCCCAGAGATTCCAGACATTTTACATGCAAGTAGTCTGAAAACCTTTAGGTGAGTGTCTCAATGTTTCCTGGAAGTTGTAAATGAAATGCAAGAGGCATAGGTTCTTTTTTTTGTAAACATTAGAGATGAAAGAAAATCAGATTTCTTTTATCCTTTTCTCTTTTACTAGACAATGTAAGAATTTCCACAGTTGCATTTATTTGAAACACCTTCTGTTATATACTGAAACAATAAAGATGAAGTGTACCCTTTGTTTTTTCAAAATTGTTTAAAATACTTTAGTATTTAAAGGTGTTGCTATTCCTTCTCAGTTCTTTTTGTTTTTTTAAGAGATAAAATAATAGACATGATGGCTCAGCATCACCTCCTCAGAGCGTTTTGCAGCTCCTTCTTTTGGAAGAGGTGGTTAACAGGAAGTGAGCCAGGGAGAGTTAAGTCTTAAGAACTCCTTGGTCTGGTGGTCTCTGGTTGTGCCCTGTAACCAAGGAGACCACAGTAAGTAGGCTTCTAGTTTTTTAGTTTTCAAACAGATTGTCTGTCTTTAGAGAAGTCTTTTTATTAATCATTTTGGTCTTAACTAGACCATGTTAATGGGTCTGAAACTTTTTCTTAATTGAAATTAAGTCAGTTTAAATCCAGACATAATTAGATGTAAAATGAACTCCTTATTTCTGAAACAAGGAGTGTCTGCCTCTTCCAAAGAATGTCAGAAGAGATAAGTATGGTCTGTTAGTATTGCTGGTTACTTTGGTTCTCAAAAGTCTTCATGTTGCTCCTAAAGTATTGAGCATAAATTGTCATGGTGATAGGGAAAACTTTTAGATAACTTAGTAGATTGACTATTAAGATAGTTGTAGAAGCAAAATAAGTGATGTGTTCCTTTAAGATTTGCTTTTCCCATAATTTGTTTAAGGTGACTTTAAATTGATGGTTACCAGGTAACTTCATTAACCTAACAAAGTTGCAATGGCTGGGTGAATTTACAATGTATATGTGCCTGTCTTGTGTCTGTAACTTATAAATAGGAACTGGAATTGTATTTACACATCAAAGACCACTAGGGATGAGATAATGGCTAAAAAGAATATAAAAAGGAAACACTGAACAAAGAGGCTTGGATACTAACCAGATGGGTTTCTGGTGGTCCTGCCCACTTGCAAGTAGAACTTCTATTATTTTACCTGAATTCTGTGTCTCTGTCTGCTTCTTTCCGAGATTTCTGGAACAACAGAATATATTGAAGTTGAAAAATGGAACATTTTCTGTTATAAGAATAGCAATTATTTGATTACTGCAACTCAACTGTAGTGTATCATTGTGTATAAAAAGAAAGACCATAGCTGTGCCTTTTGGAGATTTGTGAGGATGGGACAGTTCCTACTTCTGAGTGTCTCAAGAAGTACATGTAGCACAGTAGATATACTCAAGTCAAGAAGAGAAAAGGAAGGGAACAGAGTCTTCTTGTCACTTCTGCCCAATATTCCTGTTTGCTTTTGAAGTTTTAAAGTAGTGGAATTCCCTGTGCAGGTATTGCTGTGTAGATTAATGAGAGAAATGCAGTAGGTATAGAAAAAGTAAGCCTGACTTCTTGGGATGTTAGGTTTTTTTCTAGTTCATCTGTATTATTTATTTCTAGTGCATTTAATATCTATTGTAAATGTATAAACTTTCTTTTGCTACTTTCAGTTTTGCATATTGACTGTCTTCTTTTTCACTTCAACTCCTGCCAACACTACACTCTGTCTTTTGTCTAGGGAATGGGATTTGGATCTGAAGAAATTGCCAAACATTAAAATGAGAAAACTTTGTGCGAATGATGCAGTTGCTAAGAAGCGCAAGAAGAAAACTCAGAATTTAACTATAGACAAAGATTTAGGGCAATTGGAACTAAAAGGCAAATCAAGTGACTCGGATGAAGAAATGACTTCTGTGGCCTAATTGTCCTTACTTGAGTTGAAAATAAGTAATATGAGAACTTTAAGTCACACTCATTACTCATGAGAAATAATTATCTAGTATTTGCTGTTTAACTCATTCTCTCATAATGTGAATCACATTTGCAATTTCAAATATGGTGTTGTAATTTTTATTTAAAAATGAAAGTAGTGTTTCATTTATATTGTTGCTAAAGTAGAAAATATATTCTGTTTTTCATTACTATAACAAAATACCAGAGGCTGGATAACATAAAGAAAAGAAGTTTATTTAGCTCATGGTTTTGGAGGCTGAATGTCTAGACAGCACAGTGCTGGCTCTGGTGAGGCCTCCTCTTGCTGCTACACGTCATGGTGCGTGGTTATCGCAGTGGTGGGAGGGCACAAGAGAGGGAAAGATCACATGGCAAGACAGGAAGCCAGAAAATGAAAGGGTCCCATAATGACATCCCACCAGGCCCCGTCTCTTAAAGGCCCAAGAGAATTAAATGATTTCAGGCGAGCTCCATTTGATTATTATATTATTTTCTGCTTTCTCATTGTGAAAAGTGATAGGCTTTATTCAGACCCAAAGGTTAGAGAACTAATGATTATAACTGTTACTGCTGAGATACATGACTTAAATTAATAAACATATTTCAAGTACCATGACAAGCATGAATATTCTAGAATTTTGCTCTTCAAATAATCTACTAAATGCTAATATATGTTAGTCTGTCTTTTAAAGGATGCAAGTAAAAGTTTTCAAGAAAAGGAAAAAATGCTGTGTGAGATTAACTAGGTATCAACTAAATTGTTAACAACTTATACAAAGTGTTACAACTTTTATACTTCTGCAAATTAAAAATAAAGTTTATTTCTATGACTTCTTAAAGTTCCAATTATTTAATTTTCAATAACTATGCTTCAATAATATTTGTTAAAATGTGATTTATTAAACTCCCATATTTTTAATTATTGGAAAATTTCCTCTCTGTGTGTATGTTCATGTAATGTCTCAAAATATCTGTGAAAATTTAAGCATAGTTCTCCAGTAAAGACAGAATTACTTTATCTGGTCTGATATTTAAACACCTAAACTGTTAGTTGAATAACTTGTCAAAATAGCAAACTACCATCTCCCTCAAATATTTGTTTGTTTTCCCTAAGGTGAGTGCAAGAAATGTAACTAACAAGCTGTACTGCTAGGAATTGGACCAGATAAGTATTTGCTAAATGAATTAATTTACCAGGTATTTCGGACCATAATAATATCATTCTTGGCAGGGCCAGAATAGCCTAAGAGACAACTTGTCCTTAGAGTGATGTTTTTAATCCTTGCCTGTAGAATATGTTCTTTCTGTATGACTTGTACTGTCTTCATCTAGACTCTTTTTAGGTCAGTCACATACCTGTTTTACAGGCCATGGCCATGAAACCAAGTAAAGGTAACTTGCTTTGTGTGTGTGTCTGTGTGTGTCATCAGCCTTTAAAAATGTAAAAGGCATTCTTAGTTACAAAGCAGGCTATAGCCTGGACTGATTTGCCTGTTGTGTGCTGACCCCTTGTTTAAACCAGTGAACTTGACCTCCATGGATGTGGGTTAATAATACATTTCTAGGGCAGGGATTTAGCTCTGGTTTCGCCACCTGCTGCACAAGCGCAGGGACCCGACTTGAATCTCCGGTACCAAAAAAACAAACAATAATACATTTCTAAATTCAGACCAGCTAAATGACAGTTGTATTCTCTGCTTGGAATATCCAGGTTACTTGCTTAACTGACATAAGTTTCCCTTTTGGATTGTGTTCACCTCAAATAGGTTTTTCTATTCTTCTTTTTCTTTTTTTTTTTTTATTGATCTATGTTTGCAATGTATGATAATTACATTCTTTTGGGGAATTTATATATATAAATATGATTTTGATCATTTTTGATCCCCTTTCTTCCCTCCCCTCCCCTTTCCCACCTTCCTTTGATACTCTTCCCTATCCCTGAAAAAAAATCTACCTCCCTATTTTCCTACCAGCTCTCCTTTATTTTACTCTTCAGTTTATTTATATTTTGGGCTTCTCATATAAACTATGTCTGATTTACTTAGCATTATGATGTCAAGATCCATTTTCCGGGCTGAGGATTGAGCTCCGTGCACCATGCCTGCCTCACAAGCACAAGGTCCTAAGTTTGATCCCTGGTCCCCAAAAAAGATCAATTTTCCTACATACAACTCAAAAAAATCACCCTTCTTTATGACTGAATAGTACTCCATTTTTTATATATACTGCATTTTCTTTATCCATTTGTCTGTTGCTGCACATCAAGTCTATTTCCATAGTTTAGGTATTGTAAATTGCACTGTTATAAACATTACTGTCTGTATATCACTGTAGTATGTCTTTTTAACTATTTTGGAAAAATACCCAGGAGTATATAGCTGGGTCAAATGGAATTTCTAGTTTTATTTTTTTGAGGAATCTCCACACTGATTTCCATGGTGGTTGTAGTAGTTTACATTCCCACCAGCAATGTACTATAGAACAGTTCCTTTTCTTCTACATCCTCACCAGCATTTGTTGTTTTTTTGAGTTTTTGATAGTTCTGGAGTGAGATGGAATCTCAGAGTTGTTCTGATGTGCATTTTCCTAATGGTTAAAGATGCCGAACCTTTTATCATGTACTAAATGTACATTTGTACTCCTTTTGAGAAGTGTCTATTTTTTTCATTTGTGTTTTTTGATTGAGTTTTTTGTTTGGGGGGAGTCTCTTGTTTTAAATTCTTTATATATCTTAGATATTAATACTCTATTTGAAGAGCTGTTAACAAAATATTTTTCCCATTCTATAGGTTATGTCTTCGCTATGTTGATTGTTTCCCTTTTTATATAGAAGCTTTGTAATTTAATCCCATTGATGTTTCTATTATTTCTTGTGCTATTGGAGTTCTGTCCAGGAAGACCCTGCCTATGTCTTATGACTATATTTTCAAGTGTTTTCCTTATCTTCCAGCATTTCAGTGTTTCTGTTTTAATACCTAGGTCTTTGATCCATTTTGATTTTAGTATAGAGGGGAAGATTCGGATCTGTTTTCATCCTGAATGTGTGTAACCAGGTTTTGCAGCACCATTTGTTAAAGAGACCATCTTTTTCTCCCCTTTCTTTCTGTTCTTGTGTATTTCAAGAGCAGGAGATTGGGTAGACACCCTGTTTGCTGTACGCCAGCTTCAAAACATTTCTCCCTTATTTCTTGGAAATTCTCATTATCCATCTATTTTCTGTCTTCAGGTGATTGCTTGTCCCAAGAAGACTCAGAGTTTATAGTGGCCCCCTTGTATATGTCCTCATACCTTTGCCCCTGATTCTGCATAAATCAGAACAAGTAACGTTCAGTGTTTGTTTTTCAAAACCTATAAAGCAAGTATCAGTTATCTGTCTCTTTCTGTTCTCAGGCAACAGAACATTGCTGAAGGTCAAAAGACTGCTTTCGCATGCATCCTTCTGTCCCAGCTGGATTCTCAATACTGCTGAGTGGTCTTACTGTTTCTTTGTTAGATTCTCTAAGTCTGAGATAACTACTTGACTACTTTTTGTTTTTTCTAACTGCCCTTGAATTCTAGACTCAACAGTCAACTCTTGGCTTTTTATATATCTTTGATAAAAATAAAAACTATTGTTCTCTTCTCTCAATGTAATGAATATAGTATCTTTTCTCCTTTCAAGGACAAACACTCCTACTTGAGTCCTGGATCCCACTTTCTGTTGTCTTCTCTGAATCCTTGATTTTTCACCTAAATTTTTCATGTAATTTCTCCAGCCAGAAATCTTCCTGTAAATCTTCCTTGACTCTTCCCTTTCTTCTGTGCCCTCCTCCACTGTAATTTAATAAGCAAGTGTTACTGGTTCTGTGGAGGTCAAGTCAGTTCATGTTAAGCTATCTCTACTTTTCACCCTTACCTTGAGGAGCCACCACGTCTTGCCTGTCCTACATGCAGTAGCTTTCTAACTGGTCTTCCTGCCACTATTCTTCCCTTTCCCTGTACCCTGATGATTATATACCACTTAGACGAAGCTTTGTTATAGCTCACCTCAACCTTGGAATAATGCCCTGTGATCTTTCTGAGACAAGGGAATAGTTTGCCATTACCTTCCAGGTTATGTTCAAGTATGACTTTTCATCTCAAGTTCTTTCAGGCTACAGCTACAGGTAGGCACTTACTGCTTGGAGTCAGTGTCTCAGCAACAGGTGCCTTCCTCTTAGGTTGCATTATCATGTCATCTGGCTGCTTTCTGTTTTGTCTTCTTGGGGCAGACATATGGAAGGAAAGATGGCACCTTTGTCTGTCCAGCTTTCGCAGACAGGGTAAGTAAACTGTTTCTAATAAGGGCTTATTTTCTTTACTGCCCAAATCTGTCACCCTTGCTTAACGTTTCCCACTCCTGACTTGGGCGCTTCCTGTTCCTTCTGCCTGTTCTGAGTTTGGCATGGCTGACAGTGACAGTTTTCTCCCTCTTCAGGTCTGAGCCTGAAAGTTATCCCCACCAGTCATGTCCAACCTGTGGCCCACTTTTTATTCTCTCCTTTTTTTAAAATGTTAGAATAAAGAATAAAAGAGGTCTGGCTACTTACATATTTTATACGTGACCCAAGACAATTCCTTTACACTCAGAAAGCAGGGGTGGCAGAGAAAAAGGCAGGCAGCAGGTTGGGCCTGGCTGGAGGCCTCTGCTCTCACCCTCACTCCTGGGAAGTCTCGTTGGCTATGTCGCTCAGCTTAGGATTCTTAGCTGAAATATAGTGAGGAGGAGTTATTCTGTGATTTGGGGTAGGAAATTTGGAGGAAGGCTGTGAGTAGATTCCCAACTCTGGCAAATTCTGAGCTTTTAGAATGAGCAGTGTAGTAGAAAGGCTTCTAGGTACTCCGTTTGCCCTGATTTCAGGTTTAGAAGTCGGAGCTCTGGAAAGGAACATTTTCTTTGCTATTTCTAAACTTCCTACATGACCATGAGCTTCCCATATCTTAATGTTTTGTCCATGAAATTACCTGAATCCATGCATTTATTATCTCTGAGTAGAAAAATTGTTATATTCTTTCATCTCTTGAGTAGAATAATTCTATTATACTTTTTAAAAAAATCTTATTCATGGAAAATCCTGTAGATTACATTATGATGTTACTTAAACTTTTTTAAAGTATTGAAAGTCTGTACATTATTTCCATTGGTTAATGAATCTGTCCTTTTCCATAATGTCCATGGCTAGTCAGCATGTTTGCCTTAAAAGTTTATAAATATGTTCAGACCCGGCTTAGAAACTCAGAACATTGTAATCCAGGACTTTAAAGTGCAGATACAAATATGTAGAAATCCCAGTAGGTTAAGCAAAAAGTATAGAAACTACAGCCACGATTTGGATCACTTGTTTAATATACAAAGTCTTTCACAGATAATTATTTTCTTTTCCTTAGTTTGTCTTAGCACACATTATTCACAAACAGTAAATTGTTAATGAAAGAGAATTAGGTAAAACTAAAAAAAGTACAAATGCCAATCTCAAAAATTGCACACAATTAAAATAATTTTTTCTTCATTTCAATGCAATATCCAATTTCAAAATGGGCTTGTTCAGACATGGAGGAAACACTGCAGCCCAAAATAACAGTACTTCCTTTCATCTGTATTGATATGTAAAATAGCACCATTGGGCTGATTTAAGTAAAGAAAAAAGGTTTTCATCTTAAGGTATGATTTTTACAGAATTATTATGTAAAAACTGCAATAATAATGATACTGCCTAAAGATCTCTACTTTGTTCCAAAATATTCATTGGCAAGGCAAAGAAAGGTAAATTGTATCTGACAGATGGAATGACCTTCCCACCTCACCCCCATTATAATTTTTCTTAATGATGTCCTTAGGCTGATAAACTAATTTTCCAGCCAAAGAAATAGATGTTTTAAGGGTACTGAGGCCTTTGTGCAAAACAAGAAACAGTGTAACTGAGACCATCTCTGGGATTATTGTCACATGTAACAGCAGCTCTGAATGAGATTTAGTGCTGGGGCATTGTGAGAAAGACTCCAAATTCTGCATTGCCGTATCCCAGGTTGGGATCACTTAAAATTTTTCCCATTTTTATTTTGTTTTCATATAAAAGCATAAGCTTTGCATTTCCATCTTCACTTTAAAAAATGTGAAATTTCATTCCCTTGTAATGTAATCTTTAACCTTCTGCAACTAAAGTGACAGCTCTTTAGTTAAAAAAACTGATAGCATCAGTGCCTATGGTTTATGGTATGAATAGCACATTTTCTTGTTACATTTTCTTGTTATTTTGAACAGCCAAGATTTTTAAGTGCATTCCTCAATTTCAGTCCTTTGTTTCAATTCCATTTTATTTCTTACAGGAGCAGGTAAGCATACTTCAAAATAATGTCCTATAGAGCAGTTTTTCTGAGAGGTAAATCAGTCCACCAAAAAGCACTGCCGTGAAGGCAAATATTTTTATTCTTTGAAAGGACAAATGTATCATTGCTACTCGAAATTTAAAAAAATAATTAACATTAGATTTTAAATGAATATGGTCATTTCACATTGTTTAAATCATAAACATTCATTGCAGGAAAGCTTTATAATGAAAATTTTACTGCAATAGATTTTTTAAAAATGAAATTCAGTTTAGGGTTTTGAAAGGTCAGAAGAATAGAATTAAATGTTGACTTTTAATCCTGTTCAGGAGCTATATTCTCATTTCAATAAAGTCAAAGCCTATAAAGGTAATTTTGTGAGAATTTTGGTAGTTTAAGAACACCATTATCTTTTATTATTAACATAGCAAAGCTTATCTTTGCTTTTCATTTTAGAAATGTTTTCTTAGGTTTAAGTATACCCTTTGATAAATAAGGTTTCCTTTTAGCCAATCATCTCCCACTGTGAAATGAGCTATGCACTCAGCTATCTTACTTTTAAAACAGTATTTTCCGTGGTAATTAAGGTTAAATAATCCTTTGTCTTCCAAAGCAGACAAAAAGAGTAATCGATATTTCTTTGTTTGCTGGTAGCTACTTTTTCCTCAGGAATATTCATAGACAATATGTTGCCATTGCTAAACCACAGGAAAAATGGCTTAGAAAAAGTAAACTAGAAAGATGAAGGACTGTTAATCCCTTAAGTGTGGTACCATGGTTAAATCAGCCAGAGCTTTGTTATTCAAACTCGTATTTATTTTAAATCTTTAAAAGGGAAATCTGAGAAGTTAATACAAATTTTGAAGTTCTTTTATTCTTTTTAAATGACTTTAAAGTCTTTAATTGTGTTGCATTTTTGGTCCAGTTTAGTTTTGTTTTCCTGTGCCTTTACTCTGTGCCCCTACAACAATTTTTAAGAAAGATGAATTTTAGGGGCCGGGGATTTAGCTTAGTGGTTCCACCACCTGCCTCGCAAGTGCGAGGACCAGAGTTCGATCCCCCAGAACCATAAAAAAAAAAAAAGAAAGATGAATTTTAAACCTTTGTTTCTCAATTAAACAACTTAAAATTTTTTCTTGCATATATGCCTGAGTACATCACACACACACACACACACACACGTACTTGACATTGTTTACCTTTGCTTTATTTCTAGGAATGGGACTATTTGGACCCATTGTTAACCACCACTAATATCCACACTGTCTTTCTCATTAAAATGTTACTTTTTTCCCTTTGATAATCTGTGAAGAACAAACACATTGAAAATTACAAAGTGCACTAATGTGATACCCAAATTTGTGCAGTGTGATAAACCATGCTTTGGTTCTTATGGCCATCCTTGCCTTTTTCACCATAATAAATATGACAGTTAACAAAAATCACCTTTTAAAAAATGTAGAACACCTTTCTTTCAGCAGGCCCCTGCCAAATTATCTACGTACTATGCCACTGTACTATCTACAATTGTGAATGTAGTTCACTGCAGTGTCATTCACACTCGAGTTTTATATGAATATGTAAAGAATGCAATAATGTCAACCCTAAATAACTCAATTTGTTACTTGTAGACTCTTGAATATTTTTGCTTCTTAACTGAGCAAGGTAAATACTGTCAGTTTTTAAAAATAGGATCTGCATTCTTCGTTGTAATTACTCGACTGTCATGGATTAAAAAAGCTTTACAGTTTTGTTGTAATAACAAAAATATTTAATTTTACTTCCCTATCATAAATGCTTCATAGTAGCAAACAACTTGCTACAGGCAGATTTCTTTCTATATTTTTGTGGGGTTTTTCCCCTTTAGAGAAATGGTAACTTCATCTCATTCTTCAATCCAGGATACTTAATTTGATTACTTTAGTGCTTTTTAAAATCATGCCCTTTAAATGAAAGTTTGACATAAAGAAATGAATTAAGCGGCTGCTTTAGAATATTCAGAGTTAAATGAAGCAGAGGCTTACTCTCACATTTTACAGTTATACTGTCTAATAGAATTAATTCAGGTTGAGGTGTGTTAGGAAGTACACACTGGATTTTGAAGTCTTGGTTCAAAAACAATTTCTATAATTTTTTACATTGGTGGCATGTTGAAATAACTTGATTTATAGTGTTTAAATGATCAAAAATAGTATTTACCTATTTTTATGTTTTCTGACAGGGTTACTTGGAAATTTTAAATTTATATTTGTGGCCCACATTCGTAGCCAGTGTCCTGTTTCTGTTGGCAAACATTGGGTTAGAGGAACCAGATAAAATATAGGACCTGATAATTGATGTAAATTTCTGTGAGTACTTAACAGAGCTAATTAAACCCAAACATTCTCTAAAAGTCTTTTGTTCATGATTTAAATGTAATTCCAGGTATTACTATCTTTACATGTGTGTTGCATCCATTTTTAAAACATGCATCTGTCAAAATAACCAGACTCCACTATAGCCATAAAAATCTGTATATCAAAATACGCATCCTCCAACTTTGCTTCCACTATGACTTAAGGATAATGCAGACAATTTCAGGCTTAAAACCAAATATGTTTGTTATTTCCACACGAAATAGGCAACTTTACAAGGCCCTAAGAAGAAATACACATTGCAATTCAAGTCTGTATTCTTGAACTTTTCCCCTGCTGCTGTAAAGAAAATCATGTGTCCATTTAATCTTTTATCATTGCCTAAAAGCATTCCCTGTACCAGTGGTTCTTTATTGTCTTAGAAATCATTCTCAAGCAAGCTTCACGTTTCCATATCGTCCTTTAGGCTCCTTCATGAGTCATTTGATTTTCTTTTCCTCCTTTCATTTTTGAGCAAAGTATGGAAAAATAAGTCAGTAAGGGAAGCAGGAGATAAAAGGAGTGAATAATGCAGGATCACATCTGTCATTTGTAGTGGCTGAAGGCTACAAAGATGTTCTTGGGTGAAGAAACTCCCAACTAGTCCCATCAAACTGGTATAACTTCTGGAGGAGCAACCTCTGCAGTTGGTAGTGAATTTGTACCTGTTTGTGATACAGGCACGACCACTGCATCTTTGATGTCTGTGTTTACATTACATGAGAAGTTCTTCTCCAGTTTATTGGCAGTATCTGGACAATTCTGCACGAAGATCACACGGTTGTAGGCCTTCAGCCTGCGCCACAACTGAACGTAGACTTTACACTGTACGTACATGAAGACAAGACCTCCTGTGAAGCCAATGGCCACCACAACCAGTTTTGTCCAAAATGGCCATTCAAGGACACCTTTAAAATAAAAAAGAATGTTATCACCAAGTTGTCGTTAATGGATTTGGTAGTTTTCTTAAGGTCCCTTCAAAAGAACATACCTGCCAGCTAAATTATATTAATAAAATATATATTGTTAACAACTAGTAAGATTTATAACTAATCCTAATTCCTTTAAAATATTCTAAATGTATTGTTAAAACTATGTATGAGGAAATTTTCTCACCTATCACTCCAATGATCTCTCCTAGCATCAATTACCTGCTATAATTATCAGATACCATGGTAGACTTTGAATACTCAGGCACTTACTCCATATAGCTAAGTGTTTATGGAAGGATAGTGAACATACTGACCAAAAGGTTCAGAATTTAAAATCCATTTAAGAAATGGGAAGTAATGGATACATGTGAGATCGGGAAAGAGGGATAATAGGCAGTCAAGGGCACCAACCTGAGTAAACTGAAACAAGCCCTGGGAAATTGGAGTCTATGGGAAGGCTGCTCTCCTGATGTCAAGACTAGCAAAAGCATGACCACATTGTTTCCTTTTTGCATCAAAGTCTGCATATAAACCTCTGAACTTGAGCACCTCCACAGCATCCTTCCTGGGAGCCTCTGTCAGCTAGCAAGAGCTTTTCTTTGTTCTTTCTAATAAATTACACCTAGTTTGTTCCCTCTTGCTGGCTTCATGGACTTCATTCTTTGTCATCTTCAGGACAAGAACCCCAAGGAAGGAGAAAATTGGTGACATATACATGGGCTTCTGTAGACAGATCTCCCACCCCCCTTTCCATTTGAAAGAGAAAAAGAGAGAAGGAAAACTGCCATATCTTCCTTACCAAACAATTCCTGAGTACAGACATGGAAAAAATTGAGGATTTTAAGCATTCATTTCTTAAATCATATTTTATCAGTATGAACCATCACTTTCCTAGACATCTGTATTTTCTCTTGATTTCTATCACTATTACTAGCAAAAAACTTTCTTTTGCAAAGAAGCAGTTTTATAACTTATTTCACAGGAGTTTCTGTAACTATAAAGGGCCACTCATAGTAAATGTAAAATACATAATGACCAAAGTCCGTTTTTGCCAACACCTAAGTATTTTGGGGGACATAATTGCTTCATGTGAAAAGTTGTCAGGTAAGAGTATGGCTCAATATGATGTACTAGGAAGGGCTAAGAAATTGGTAAACACCACAGGTAGTGAGAATCTATGATTCCACGTTGGGTTTTTATTATACCAGTGAATAGTTATACAAATATATTACGTGTATTTTGTAATAGTGACATTTGCTTTATGTTTCTGTGTGTGTGTGTGTGTGTGTGTGTGTGTGTGTGTGTGTGTGTGTGTATTACTGGGAATCAAACCAGGGGCACTCTCCCACTGAGCTATATCCTCAGTCTCTGTTTTTCTTTTCTTATTCTGAGAGAAGTTGTTAGGTCACCCAGGTTGGATTTGAACTTGGGATCCTCCGACCTCAGCAACCCAAAATGTTGGAATTACAGGCATTCACCATGGTGCAGGACTCCTGCTTTATGGTTCTGAAACAAATAGACTCCACATTTCTACCATGACAAAGCACTCCGTACCCTAAGATGAATGAGGAGAAACAGTGCCATATCAATTTCTGATCTCACAATAAAACATGGAGTATTTATTGGCAAAAAAATATAGAATTTTTGATTTTAGAAAGTTTAGAGTCCACAAATGGACCATATGGGACATTTGGCAGTATTTTGTTAGTAATATGCTAATGCTTCCATGGTGCCTTTCTCCTACAGATATCTTTGATTTTGAAGATAGTGATTTTAACAATGTAAATATGTTACCCAGGTTTGATTTTTTTTGGTATGGATAATTTGCAACCAGCATGAATTTAGTGACAGCAACATTTTTATCTAGTGTCAATAGTGTGCTCTTGTCCAATATTCCAATACCCTGCAGAAACATCTTCATTTAAGGACAGAAAAACAGATAATTACAGAAATTATGGCACAAAAATGTTTTGTATTTATTCACAAATTTTCCAAGTCACTTTATTATAAAAAAGTCAAAAGCAATGCCTTAAAATAATAATGATTTTTGCCTGTGAGCATAACTTTTTAAAATTTTAGACTGGAGATATAGCTCAGGTAAAGATTGCCCAGCATGTGCGAAACCCTGGGTTCAGTTCCCAACAATGCAAAAACAAACAAATTTGGTCCTACTTTCACAGTACCAGTTCCTTTTCTAAGGATTTTACTGTAGTTTTGATAATGGATCACATAATCTATACTTGAAACACATTCAGTATCCCTACATACATTTATTTATCTTGGAAACAATTTATTGATATATATATATATATATATATCAAAAGATTCAATTTCTTTATGAAAAACTTCATAAAATATTTTTTAAATAATCAGGTGGATACAATAAACATTGCTCAATTCTTAATTTTTCTGGTATTTTGGCGAAGAAAATTAATTAAAAATCCAGAGCTCAGAGACCTTTAAGGACCTCCTATTTCAAGTTTATCTCCTTGTTTTTCTTTTGCTACCAGTATTTAATGCCCAAACTGAGAGCATTACCTGGTGATCTTGACCTAGTAATCTTTGACAGTATTGGAATTTGATTTGTGTTTTGCATAGAAAGAAATTTACTTGCTAACTATTTATGTTAAAATACTTTAAACCAAAGTCTTTGTGAGTGATTTTTAAGAGGAATTTTGAAGAATAATCAGGAATGTGTAATGATTTTAGTATTCACAGAGAAGTGGCAGCACATATTTATAAATGGCTGGATAATACACCCATTTTCACTGAATGCAGAGTAACATAATGGCAAAAAATAAATTTCTTTCCATGCAGAATCCTCATATGTGGAATGCAAAAAGGCTTTTTTAGCTGCTACTTTAGTTCTCTTCATTGTGCAGGGGGAAGAAATGGCTGGGACACTGACTCTTTGTGGGCCATAGGTTCTGAACTATGCCTGATTTTGTTCATTTAAGGGGCACCTGGCATTGTCCGGGAAGACAGCTGATTGTCAGACCTAGAGTTAGGTGGGGTGCTATTGACTCTTAGTAAATAGAGGCCAAGGATACTGCTGGGCGTTACCCTATAATGCATAGAGCTACACTCTTCTAACAGGATTAGTTTGAAATGTCAATAGGGCTGAGGGGGACAATCCCTGTGGTAGAAGACACTCAAGTTTCTTTATTAGGAAGTTAGCTGGAAAGATCTGCTATATAAATAAGACGTTTTGGAGTTCTCCAAACTTAGAAAGTTTTTTGTTTTAGTTTATTTTTTTTTCTTTTTGGTAGTAGTTTCAGTGTGTTTTTTAAAAAAAACTTTTAACCACAGACAAGCTGGAGATGAAATATGCTTTATCTCCCATTTTTAGGGAAATACCCATCATTCACATCAAACTTTCTATTTGCTAAATCAAACTACTAGCTGTTCCTTACAAATGCCTAGAAATTTGCCATTTCTGAACTTCTGTTCATGATACTTCTTTTCTGGATTTTGCCTCCCTGTTTCTGCCTACTTGTCCCCCAAAAATCCAAGTCAGAAGTAATTTCTTGCTGGAAATAAATTTTCTTAGTGTTTCAGTTTCATACCATTTCTTTCCTTGTGGTGTGAATTCACTTCCTAACATAAGTATTTCATCTTTGACAGGCACAGACCCTGGATAGTCTGTTTTCCATGGTGCCTTGCTCAGTAGATATTTTAGGGATGAATGGAAGCTTTATAGTTGCTCTTGTCAGTGAAGCTCTGCTTTGTTGATTGACAATCTGAAAAAGTTCTACTCATGTTCTGTCTTACTTTCCTGCAACAATGACTAAAACCCATAATACAGTAAAAAACTGAGCCAGGAATAACCAGCTGCCAATTTTCTCTGTCCTCTCTTAAGGGAAGCAATTTGGTCCTTCCACTTTCCTTCATAAGGAGCTGTGAATTGATTTCTTCTGCCACTGCATCCTCCTTTAATACATTCTTGGGAAGTCAAAGCTCCCCCTGAATCCCTAGACTGAATTTAGAGAGTTAAGCATCCCTGAATCTCACATACAGAAGCCATTTGGATCCAAATTCATTGTCCAAATGGCCAACTTCAAGAGACAGCCTATTGTTTCTCTTTCTTTAGACTAAATGGACAGGATTTTTTTTTCCCATGAAAGATATTATTATTGAGTGGTTGTACAATTTTTACCTTGGAGAATAACTATAGGATTATCTTGAGAGAAGATTCTAAATGGTTTTTTTCAAGAATGTTTTCATTGGTGAGATATACTTGCCTCCTTCTATTGAGACTTAGCAAATTGTCTTCACACTCAATTTTGTTGCACTACTCAGTTTCTATGCTGTCTTCTGCAAACAGGAGAGAATGTGTACAGCAAGGACAGGGGTAGGGAAGGGAAGAAAACAAATCTTGTTTCCTGTGGATACTTTGTATAACCCAAGGAATCCTTTGTCTTCACTAATATGTATTTGAAGCTGCAGACTGCACTTGGAAATGCCCTGAACACATTTTCTACCTGCCAGTTTGGAAAATACAACTTCAGGCAATTCATTCACTCATATCTCTGAAATACAAGGACACATCTCACCTGCTGCTTTTGTTCTTGGACTCTCTGTAGGCTTAGGAATCAACTCTCTGTCCATCTGTCCTTCCAGAACATTTCTTAGAAATTTTTGAACAGGAATTGGAGGAAAAAATATTCTTCCTCCCATTATTATCTGAAGAAATGTGGATCTTGTTTTTCCTAATATATTTAATTGTTTTGTTTGCATTCTATAACATCATGTGAATTCCATAATAAAAGGCAATGAGTGGGCCAGGGATGTAGCTCAGTGGCGCCACACCTGCCTGCCAAGCAGAAGTCCTGAGTTCGATATCCGGTACCAAAACAATAAAAGGTAATGAGCTCTCAGTCTTAATATATAATTACTAAATAAATTCATCCAGGCCTTCTTTTTATAACTGCATTTATGTGATGCGGTACTTGAGGGCTGCAAAGTCTTAACACACC